AGTCCCAGCTTGACCAAGCCCTGGCTGGGCTGATTGAGTTGGGGTTGGTCCTGTTTTGGGCAGGGAGCTGGACTCAATGACTCCCGAGGTCTCTGCCAGCCCTGGGCTTCTAGGATTCTGTGATTCTTTGTGAGCAAACCTGAAGAGCTGTGGCACCAAGAGTGGCACTGAAGTGTGGACAGCGCCTCTTTGGCCCCCGAGAGCTGCCTCGCCCCCAAGCCCTGTGGGGTGGCCCAGGCGCTGGAGTTGGCTGCTGGCCCTCGCTCACACGCCCTGGGCAGGGAGCCAATTTCCCCCCAGAGCAGACTGGCTTGCTTCTGTGATTCTTTGTGAGCAAACCTGAAGAGCTGTGGCACCAAGAGTGGCACTGAAGTGTGGACAGCGCCTCTTTGGCCCCCGAGAGCTGCCTCGCCCCCAAGCCCTGTGGGGTGGCCCAGGCGCTGGAGTTGGCTGCTGGCCCTCGCTCACACGCCCTGGGCAGGGAGCCAATTTCCCCCCAGAGCAGACTGGCTTGCACCTTGGGCCTTTTGTGCCACTTTGCAGCATCCGGTCACTTGCGAGGACACCGGGCACATGTCACGTAACCACGTCCCCCCGTGGCAGGGCTCTGGGTACTGGGGAGCCTGGTCCGGGCAGCAGGGCAGGTCGGACTCCAGGGCTGTTTCACTTTGGTCTGGGGGGGAGAGACCAGCTGATCCAGAGCCCCCCTTAAACATGACCCCTCTATTCCCTGCGATGGGTCCAGCTCCTCCGACCCGCTACCCCGACCCACTGGCAGCATCCCCCAGGGAGCCAGCCCTGCACTGCCCCACGGCTCAGAGCACAGGCGCAGGGCCAGGCCCAGGGCTCCCCGGCTTGGACCGTGGTGAGTGGGGGTCACTGGTCCATTGCCCCACCACACGGTGGCCGTTGGGGCCACATTGCAATTTCCTTTGTAATCTCACTGATCTGGTCCGTTAGGCCGCAGCCTGCACTGAGCTGAGATAACAAAGTGCCGGCTCATCGCCTCTGGGCCGCGAGGGAAATGGGGGGGACAGTCACTGCTCTCCGGTGACCGGGTCCCTCTGACTCTCCCTGCGCCCCGGTGTTCAGCCTGTGGTCACCCTAAGCCCCGATCCCTTGCAGCGGGCTCTGTCTGAGCCAGCCACTGCCCCTTCTGTGTGTGGGGCACGGCTTATCCCTGCCTCGCGAGGCCCTTTGCATTTCTCTTCCCTCCTATTGCCTCGGGCCACGGCTCCAGCATGGCCAGGTCACTGGCAATTCGGAGCCCGTGTTACCTTCTGTGCTCAGGCCCCTCGGCCCCGCAGCTTCGCCTTGGCCCCCTGCCTTGTGCTGAAGGATTTCCCCCGACACGTGTCTCTGTGCATCCCAGGGCTGGCCCTGCCCCGCCTGCTCCTCTGCCCCCCGGACGTTTCACGGCTCAGACAGACCCCCTGGCTCCAGGCAGTTGCTCAGGGCCTCCCCCATCCCACCCTCCTGGCCCAGCGCCCAGCCCAGCCGGAGAAGACTGGGGCGACCACCTGCCTTTCCCCCGGCCCTGTGGCTTCTCTCTGCCCGGTGGGGGGGCCGCCCAAGAGTCCTTCTCGCCGCTGCCAACCCGGCGCTGGACTGGGCCCCCTGCAGAAAGTCAGTTCCCAGCAGTGACCTCCCGGCCGCCCGCCAGAGGCTGATTCAGCCACATGCCCCTGGGCAGGTCTGGGTCACTGGCCAAGGGCTCCTGGATGGACACTTCTGCCTCAGCTGCCTGGCCCGTCCCCCGACAGACTCCACCTCTGTGGTAACCGGCTGTGACGAACGCGGGTCTCACGCAGGCCTGGAGTGATGAGGAGCCGCTGTCTGGGGAAGAGCAGGACCATGCGGTACCCCCTCCCCCTCACTCCCGCACTGGGCAGGTGTTCCTTGGGGGCTCAGTGGAATTACAGCAACAGCATCCCACGGGCCTAATGGTACCTCGTGAGTCCCGTCCGGGACCCGTTCCTCATCAGCCTCATCACGCCTGCCTGGGACGCCTTTCCACTGGCCTGCCTGTCTGTCTGTCTGGATCGACCTAGGCTGGACAGACACCGGGCAGGGATGGTCCAGACGGGGCTGGGTCCTGCCGGGGGGGCAGGGGACGGGGTTCGATGCCTCTCCAGGTCCCTGCCCGTTCTAGTGTCTGTGGTTCTACGATTCTCTCTGGTGCTGCCAGTCGGCTCCCGTCCGCCACATCGCGCAGCCCGGCCCCGCGCCAGGGTGATGTGAAACGGCTTTAAACCCGCGCCCCTGAATTGACCACGGCTTGTAGGGTCAGGACCAGGTCCTCAGTGAGCACGTGCCAGGCTCCCCAGGGCAGCAGGCTGGGAACTGCCCTTGTCTGTGAAGACAGAGGCACAGAAAGCCTTGAGACTGCAGCTTTCCCCACAGCATCTGCCAGTAGGTTACCTCCCTCGTCCAGTGAGGCCCCCACCCCCTCTCTGATCACCCTCTTGTCACTAACATGCCTGGAGAAACCTTCCTTGTTCCCCTTCACATCTCTTGCCAGCTGCAATTCCAATTGCCCTTTGGCCTTCCTGATCACTCCCCTGCATTCTCTAGCAATAGATTTATCCTCCTCCCTCGTCATCTGGCCAAGTTCCCACTTGTCAACTTCCCTCTCGTGCGCATCGAAAATGTCACTGTTAAGCCAGACTGGTCACCTGCCGGCTGTGTCTACACTGGCACCCCTTTCTGGAAAAGGGATGCTAATGAGACACTTCAGAATTGCAAATGCCGTGGGGGATTTAAATATCCCCCACGGCATTTGCATGAACATGGCTGCCGCTTTTTTCCGGCTCGGGGTTTTGCCGGAGAAAAGCGCCAGTCTAGACGGGATCTTGCGGAAAATAAGCCCTTTTCCGGAGGATCCCTTATTCCTACTTTCCAGTATCCCACGTCCCCACCTACCTCAGGGCTTAGATCGCCATCCCCCAACGAACCTAGCTCAAACCTGCTCACCAGGGCCATGTCGGGTCTGGGCACGGCTGAGGGCGTCCGCTCAGGGCAAATTGCTCAAATCCGGGGCTCCTTACAACTCCAGACCGGAGACCTTCCCGAACAGGCCACACTCCAGTCCCACCGAGCGCTTCTGCTGGCAGCCTGGCCAGCCAGAATCCTCACGAGCAAAACCCCTCCGAAACCCCAGCTCTGCCTGTGCCCCAATCAGCCCCAGGCCTAACACACAGGTGAGGGGCTATGGAACCCAATCTCACCCACCCCGAACGGATTCTTCCAGTTCCAAGAAACAAGCCACTGATCCCTGGTCAATTTACCCTCTGGACCTTACCCACAAATCACGCTGGGCCAATCCTTTAGCATCTAACAACTAAAGGCTTATCATCACAAGAAAGAAAAGCCTGAGAGTGAGGTTGTTAAAGGATCCTACATTACATGCATCGAATCTCCCAGTTCTTGATGCAGGCTCATAGCAGAGATGTTATAAACTGCTGGCTTAAAAGTCTCCGGTGCACATCCTATATGAGGACGGGTCCACAGCTCTTTCCGGCTCGTGGTTCCCTACAAGGCTGCATCTGGGATCACGAGCTGAGCTGAAGACCAAGATGGAGGGGCCACATGGCACTTCTATACCTCTCCTGGGATCTTCTTGGCTGCAGCAGGTCGCCTGGCCAGTGGCCTGTCCCTGTGTCCCCTGCTGGTAGCCCCTAGGTTTCAGTCACATTCCTGAGGTGTGTATTAGCACCTAGAGATACATTATCTCCTTGCTAATTAGCACAGCCACTGGCTGAGCATTCCTCGCCCTTTGCTCAGCGACAGACAATTTCCCAGCATCCACACAGAGTCCCTGTTTCTAACTCCACATACAGATGTCATACCATTACATGAATGGCACACACAGAACCAGTAGAACAGGAGCTTTCATGGTGCCGCCGCCGCCCCCCCCCCCCCATGGGGGGCCCAGCCATAATCTGGCTGCTCCCCTTAAAATCCAGTAACGTGACACGACAGGAGCACCTCTGTCGGCTGAGTGTAGGGGAGAAAAGTGCCCTCTTCAGTTCAGGGCTGGTTCCATGGGGCAGGCAGGGGAGCTCCCTCCTGTTGCCATCGGGTGGCTGCGCAGGAGGCCGGACAGAGCAGCGCTGTGCTGGGTACGGTCTGTGGGGCAGACACAGTCCAGACTTGCAGGCTGCCTGTGACGATGCTCTTCCCTCTCCGTTAGGTGGGGCCCAGCTCTCCTAGCAACGCTTGTGTCCTCAACAGCGTCCCGAGGACGAAGAATCCAAAGTCCTCGCCCCGACAGCACCAGGCCTCCACGCATTGGCCTGCGCGGCTCTGTGGTCCTCCCTGGGCCTGGGCCTCCAGCAGGAGGATGGAGGAGAACAGGATCCTTCTCCCAGGGCCCCCCGCCTGCAGCACCGCGCTCAAGGGCGTTCGCAGCAGGTTCCCGGGCGCCCACTGGGAGCACAGTGAGGTCGCAGCACAGCAGCGCCCGCCTGCCTCCCTGCACCCGCCCAGGCCGACCGGACCAACCAGCCTGCGGGGAAGGCAGAGACCTGAGCTGAGCAGACGGGCCCCAGGCTAAAGGGGGAGCCTGGGTACTGAGCCCTGCAACAGGCCCCCAGCATCCTGCAGGAGGAGTGGGGGGGACTGCTTGGTCCAAACCCTGCCCAGTCTCACGAGCAGCAGCGCCCGCCTGCCTCCCTGCACCCGCCCAGGCCGACCGGACCAACCAGCCTGCGGGGAAGGCAGAGACCTGAGCTGAGCAGACGGGCCCCAGGCTAAAGGGGGAGCCTGGGTACTGAGCCCTGCAACAGGCCCCCAGCATCCTGCAGGAGGAGTGGGGGGGACTGCTTGGTCCAAACCCTGCCCAGTCTCACGAGGGTTCGGATCCCACCTGCTCACCGGCCTTTCGCTCTCCGTGCCTGCCCCTCACAGCCGTGTCCCGTCGCTCTCTGGACAGTTCCTCCCTGTGCCCCGAGTCTGCAGGAACCGTGTGGCGCAGGGAAGGGCTGGAGAGATCTCGCTCGGGTGGCGCAGGTAGCGGGGGGCACCCTCCTCCCCTCCAGAGGGGCAGGCTGAGAGCCTCCCAGCAAGACAGGGGGATGTTATTGTGTGTTGGTAGGAACAGGCAGGTCGCTGCTGCTCCCTCTGGTGCGTGGTTACCCCCAGTACGGTGCAAAGTGGCCAAGTGAGGTGTCAGGGCTGTTCCCCACTTTGGCACTCTGAGTGCAGGAGGGGACCCCCAAGAGAGCTTCAACCCTTCCCTCTACAAGCCCCCGTTACCAAACCTCCCCCCAGAATCACAACACAGATTTGGGGGAATTGCTGCCACCGTGAAGTGCTTTTTATCCCTAAACCCAGGGGTGAACACTTGAACCCACCCCCAGCGGCACCCCAAGGACTTTTGCCCCAAAAGAGCTTGAAAAAAGCAAAGAGAAAAGCAAGCTGCAGTCTGTGGTAGCTGACCCCTCCGTCAGAGGCCTGCAGACACCCACAGACAACCTGCCAGGACCCGAGAATGAAAGCCTCGCCTTGAAAGAAAGCTCATCACCTATTAAACCAGAGTGTTAGTCTTTAGAGTGCTACATAGTTTTTCCTTTTGTTTTAGCCAGAACACGGCTACCTCTCCGTTACTTAAAAGAAGGGATTTTTATTACAAAACACAAGATGAACTGGCGCAAGCAGACTGGGTTCCCAGATGTTACAGAGCAATGAAGGGAAACAAATTAAAACCCAGAGAAAATCTCTAGGAAAAATGCTTAGACTTAACTGCCCGGGGCTAGAGGCAGCAGTTAAACGTTAATTTGAATTAACTCCTTAGTTCGAATTAACTGTTACTCCTCATTCCATTGTGAGTCTGAGAGATAAACAGACTCATTATCAGTTGCCCTGAGATATGGCCCACCCCCCCCAAGACCGGTTCCGCGCTGCCAGACTCTGCAAAACCTGCCATTGTGATTCTGAGATAAACAGACTCATTATTAGTTGCCCTGAGATATGCCCCCCCCCAGACCGGTTCCGCGCTGCTACCACCCAAGTGATGGAGAAAATATAAAATAAAAGCCCTTTTCCAGAGAGAGCTCACTTGGGATCTCCCCCCTGGGGTACAGGTCTCAGCTGCCCCAACCTCTGTTTTGCTTGGAGTTGGGAAACGAGGGGGAATCCGCAGACACCACTGGACTCTGCCCTTGTAACTAGGCACCTAATCCTCAGGACACAACAATCAACCAAGACCCGTTAATTAGAATAAAAAGAAAACTCCTCCATTATCAAAACCAAACTACTGTTGCAAGCACAGTGAATGGCCAGGTGGCAAATAGCCACAATTGACACAGGCTCAGGGAAAGTCCCTGGGCTGGAATCCTCAGTTACAAAAGAAAGACACAATTAGCCAGCTCAGACAGGATTTCCAACCCCCAAACAAGGAAACAGTAAACCCTGGCGGACTATCTAACCTTTTCCCTACCGACACATTTCAAGAAGTCTGTTCTTGGAGAGAGAAGCGTCTCCCATCCCCTCAATACGTGGGAGAAACTGCTCAGATCTCACAGACGAGAGAGAAACCTCTTTCCCCGTTTGAAATTCCTACCTGCCCTTTTATTGGCTGACTGCCCAAATCCCCCCTTCCCCCCACGTAGGTGTATCTCCAGTTGCTTAACCCTTTCTCGCTCTTCAGGTAAGTCAGACTCTCCTTAGCATTTAGGACAGACGGTAATGGGGAGGGGAGGCTCGCTCTTCAGGTAAGTCAGACTCTCCTTAGCATTTATGACAGACGGTAATGGGGGAGGGGAGGCAGAGATTCCCACGGAGCAGTTCAAACCAAACCACAAAACACAGAAAAACGCCCTGAACGCGACTGGATTCACTTCCCCCCTTTACTTACTTCCTGTCTCCTCCTTCCTCAGTCCACTCCCATGCCCTGAATTCCAGGGGGGCAGGTCGTCCTGCCTGGGTTTCAGTCATTCTGCCAAACAACTGGCCACATTGCCTGACAAATTCCAAATCAAAATTATATAGTTATAAAATAATAGGTACAATACAATTCATCGGCAAACATTGATATAGATATAAACCTTTACAAAACAATTACTACTGATGTTTATAAGGACACACCCCATACTATAACTACTGCGGTACCACAAAAAATATTAATGTTATTCTTATCCACAATTTTTTTTTATGTGGAGGAGAAAAGAAAAGAATTGTTGCAACAAAACATAGTTTGGTCACGTGACTCAAACATAAAAAGAACATCAAACTAATATAACATAGTAGTGACAAAGAAACAAGTGACAGACAAGTTGACCTTTATCATATCGACGAATCATACCACCAAAGGATCAACCGTTGTTGTTGTTGTTTGAAGCCAGTTTGGGAATCCTGTCGGTTAAACCATTCGCTGTTCTGGATCTACCTGTGGATTCGCCTGTAAGAGAGGTCTGATAAATTAATTGGGAGCTTTAACCAAAGTGAGTGGGTAACTCCTAGATCTGTATCTGTTTCAGATTCAAAATCAAAACCAAACAGTTGAGGAGATCAGCATAAACGATTTAATATACGAAGGGGAACTCCTCAAACCTACAATTAGAGTGTAGGAATAAACCAAGTTTAGGTTTCCCCAACTCTCTCTGTGTGAAGACCTAGGGTGGAGCCTTCCCTGAGGAAACCTTTTAAAGGTGCCAGCATGTGTTAGGAGGTACGTCCGACAATTAATCAGACAATTGGGGAAGGTACAAATCTGACAATAGTGCCCCATCCCAAAACCGTTCTTGTTTTGAGGGGAACTGTTAGTGTCCCTTCAAATAACAGCAGGTTTTGTATGTAGTTTATATAAAAGCAATTTGCTTTGCCCACTTCCTCTCCCTTCTCCAACTGACACTTAAAAGCGTACATCGCTTTTCTTTTCCCGCTTCTGAATTCCCTCTTTCCTAGCATTTGGGCTTTCAATTCACTGCTTGCCATTTTCCAAAATAACATGAACTGTTCCTCCAAGATGTCACACCGGATTTTGAACCTTTTTATTTCCCCTATTTCTTTTATTTGCTTCTGCCAAAGCCATCTGATGGAGCCAGACGGATCCCTCTTTTCCCCACAACTGACGGACAACCCGAAGTCACTGCATAGCAATTCCTTGGAGAACTAGCCCCACCACGAGGTGAACCAAGGCGGCCGCCCCAGTATCTAAACGATACTCATCCAGTGGTGGTGCCGGTATTTCTATAGGGGACCCTCCCTTGCCGGCTCCTTCTCTGCGGTGACCATACCGCACTCCGGATGTTTTAATGGACAACGGCCTTTTTCTTGACCCGTAACCAGATGCAGGCTGTGGTTATCCAAGTCAAGTGTATGTCCCTGTCTACCCAAGAAACTGGACCCTAACAAATTACCTGGTGGGTCTCTCATAGTGAGCAGTACAAAAACATGGTTCTTTTGTACGCTGCCGATTTTTACCGGGATGGGTTTGGACATTACAACAGTAACTTGGTATCTTCCCGCTGCGGCTAATGTTCTGGTTTGACCAGAGGACCATGGTGAGGACAAAGGGCTTTTGGAATGTATTCTACTGATGGCTGCCCCGGTATCTATAATGAATGTTACATGGTGGCCCCCCCAGCCAATACCGGGGGTCTTCCATTGCCATCTGTACCCAAAGACACAGCACACGGGGCCTTTTGGCGTCATGCCAAGTAGCTGGCATGCACGGGTAGGAATCCTTCAGCCTTTTCCAGCTCCTCCAACACATCCTCCTCCTCAGGCCAAGTCTGCATCAACCGAGGCCACTGGTTGGCCCGAGGATTTGATTTGGGCTAAAGTCAATTCACTTAGACTGACACGGAGTTCCTGCAATTCCCATTGCATATCCCAGAGCATCATCGTAACTGCGGCTCCTCCCGAGTTTGGATGTGGTGGTGCTGACTGGAATTCGTGCACCAGGGCTTTCCGCACAGCACTTGCAAAATGGTTCGGGCATTCCCACGGTTCCCCCGAGACCGTGCGGGAGGGGGTGCCACCAGGACACACAGTGCAGAAAATTGTATCTGCTGCTGGTGCACATGCAGATAGCAGAGCAGTAGCGTGAGAGGAGTAGAACAGGAAGAAGGCAGAACCGAGACCCCACAAAGTTCTGGCCCACGCGAGGGGTATGGGGCACCATCTGAGCTCTCTGCCTCAGGGGCCAAAATGTCGTGGGCTGCCCCGATTCCTTTAACCTCTCAGGGCTCTTAGGGTACGTCTACACTTGCACCCTGGTTCGAACTAGGGATGCAAATGTAGGCAACCGAAATTGCTAATGAAGCGGGGATTTAAATATCCCACACTTCATTAGCATGGATTCGCCGGCGCGTTACTCCGCTTAACAGCTATTTCGGAAGTGAAGGCACACGCCGGGATGCGGTAGTTCCAACCAAACCCCTTGGTTCAAACTAACGTTACTCCTCATTTTTCACTAGCGCGTCAAAGAAAACGTCCCAAAAATAGAAGGCCAGGGGGTTAGTGTCCTCCTCTTCCCTTGAAAGCCACTCTGATCGCAAATCGAGACGGTTAGACCGCCAGCCGCTGGGTCCGCGAGTGCTGGGGAACACACTCCAGCCGGCACGGGGCCGTGGTCCACGAGAGCTCAGGGGACTAACGACAGAAGGGGAAAACCCAGGCGAGGGTTTTCTGGATACTGGCCGCTGGCTCCATGCCCACAAAACAGCTCCCCCACCATCACACAGGACGGGTTCTCGGATCCAGACACAACCACTTGTTAATAACTAATTAATGGCCAATTAACAAATAGTTTCCCCTTAGCACAAAGGAATTCCCTACTCGTGAGAGTCTAGTAACTAGTCAATAATACCCACGGAGGATGCCCTCGAAGTGCCATGAGGGGTCCTTTCACAAATATTTACAATTGCCCAGGGAACTAGTCTCCTCAGGGAACTAATGGGTAGGAGACAAGTAGTCACTCGCAAGGCATGCCACATGAGTTTGAGGGTCAAGACCTTGGGTGCACCTTGGTGTCTATGCCTACCACTCCCCCCTGGGGGACATAGTCCCCTGATTGCAGAATTACTCAGTTAAGAAAAATAGAAGCAAGATAAGTAAGGTTGGCACATCCACAAACTCCTCAATTTCATAAGAGAGGGAATGTCCATTCATATCTCCTTACCATCTCCTGACATCAGCCCTTCCAGAACAATCTTAGGTGTTAGCTCATCAGCTTTCTCATTTCCTTCATCTTCCCCGTCATCACCCAGAGCCATCCTTCTGCCCTTCCAAGGACGACATCTTCTCCTCCATATCCCCCTGGGCTGGGGTCCTACTTTTATACCAAGTGACGCCTACGAGAACATGTTTTATGCATATTCAGTAGGGGGTGTTTCTAATGCTGAAGTGGTTTTTTCCTATTGGTCAATATATCATTGCTCTCAACTTATTATCATATACGTCAACTAGTTGCTATGGGTCTTCGTGGTTCTCTGTCGCAACCTGTGTCCTAATTGCTCAACTCAGCCTGAACCAATTATTTGGGACTTATATTTAATAATACAACTGCTGAATCTGAGGGTCTTGTTCCCGCCATCCTGTGTGGCTGAACGGTCCAGGCCTAAGTTCCCTTTTCTCAGGCCTGGGAAACCATAAATAAGGTCTGACGGGTATCTGGGCGAGACCGGGTCCCAACCACGGAAGTCTGCAAAGCTCAGCTCCTGTTGATCTCGCAAACGGTCTGTTGCAGCCTGGACAAAAGATTAAATATAACCCCATGTTCCTGGACCCGGACTGTGAGCTTACGGATGTTCTCTCATTCACGTGGAAGCCTGCCCTGTAACTGGCTGCAATGCAGACATGGCACTCATTAGAAAGTGCATTCAGAGGCTGGACTCTAGAGCCCTAACCCTAACCCTAACCCTCCCCCAAGGACTTGAGCGCTGCTGTGTTAGTATTAGCGGCCTTCACAAACTCGGGCAAACAGAAGGCCGAGTGTATTACACCCGAGCCCAGACATCAAGGGGCCTACGGGAAGGGCGAGGGCAGCTTGTAGTAGATTTCTCGCATTAGAGTTTTAACTATTCCCGAATTAATCAAAATGAACACAAACATATTATTAGCATGACAGGAAAGTAACTTGATAGGCTGCAGGCGCTCGGTGGGTGAACGGGGGAGACTGCAGCTCGGCCCCGCACAAGGCCTCCGGGGGCAGTTGCCTCGTGGTGATCTGTCCCCCTCCCCTCCCCCTCTCCAGCACCAGCCACTGCCGACCCCCCAGGCCCTGAAATTGGTGCTGGAGCTCATTGCACCACTCAGGCCAGGCCGTGCTTGAGAGCACCCCAAGAGTCAATTTTGGGGCCAGTTTTGTTCAACGTCTTTATTAATGACCTGGCTGAGGGGATGGATTGCACCCTCAGCAAGTTTGCAGATGACACTAAGCTAGGGAGAGAGGTAGATATGGTGGAGGGCAGGGATAGGGTCCAGAGTGACCTGGACAGATTAGAGGATTGGGCCAAAAGAAACCTGATGAGGTTCAACAAGGAAAAGTGCAGAGTCCTGCACTTCGGATGGAAGAATCCCAAGCACTATTACAGGCTGGGGATCAGCCCCGCCGCGCCGCTCGGCACTTCCCCGTGGGCGGGGCTGTCAGTGCGGGGAGTTTCCTCCCCGTCACACCCCCTTTGGTGTTCCTCATAAAAAAGTTATTGTTTGGTGTTCCTCGGTCTTAAAAAGTTTAAGAAACACTGCCCTTCACCCCACACATTCACTTCCCTGGGTGTGAGGCAGCTACCAGAATCAGCGACTGCCCTGGCTCTAGCCAAGCCTGGCAAATAGCTGTAGCATTTCACTCTTAACCGTGCACTTTTCACACTGTCTTGTGTAAGTATCATGAACACTGTCTTGTGTAAGGCAGAAATCTAGAACCCTCTGTTCATCGGTCAAGCCTTAGCCAGGAAGAGGGGCTATCAGGAAGGCCAGAGCTTTATAAAGTCCATGAGTAAGCGACCAGGGAGCTTTATGAACAGGGGAAGCTAACAGGGAGTTTTGTGAAGGAGTTTAGAAGGGGAATTGGAAGGAGGAAAGGTACACTTGCCATTCCTTAAAACTTTTAAACTACACTAAAACCAAAACTACCTTTTTAAAATAAAAACCCTATCAATAACCTAATTACCTGTAGGAGAGAATGCAGGCAGAAGACCAGCAGCAGAGTGGGGGCTATCCTGTTTATTGCACCCAATGTTCATGTATGATTACCTGTCGTATGGATAGGTGGCATATGTGTGCATTCAGTGCAAGGAGCTCCTGGCCCTCAGAGATTGAGTATGGGATTTGGAGGCCAGGGTGGCTGAATCCAAGGAACTAAGGAAGGCTAAGATGTACGTAGACAAGGCTTTCCGGGACACTGTAGAACCGTCCCACCTTCAATCAGACAGCCTCTGTACTGTCAAGGAGGATGAAAGGCTCAGGGAAGGAGAACAGTCTCCTGGAGCAGAGGGAAATGATCCCATAATTGGGACCCTCCTTCCAGAGGATGTTATGGTATCCTTTCATTCTGAGGATACATCTCCGGGGGAGGGAACTCCAATCATTAGGAAAAGGCAGGTGTTAGTAATGGGAGATTTGATCATTAGAAACATAGATAGCTGGGTTTGTGATGACCGGGAGAACTGTATGGTGACTTGCCTGCCTGGTGTGAAGACTGTGGCCCTCTCAAGACATCTAGATAGACTTATGTGTAATGCTGGGGAGAAGCCGGTGGTCATGGTACATGTAGATACCAATGACATAGGGAAGGGTAGGAGAGAGGTTCTGGAGGACTAATTTAGGCTGCTAGGAAAGAGACTGAAATCCAGGACCTCTATGGAAGCATTCTCTGAAATGCTTCCAGTTCCACACGTAGGGCCAGGTAGGCAGGCAGAGCTTCAGAGTTTCAATGTGTGGGTGAGACAATGGTGTAGAGAGGAGGGGTTTAGATTTAGAAGGAACTGGGGAAATTTTTGGGATGGGGGAGCCTATACAGGAAGGATGGGCTCCACCTATACCAAAATGGAACCAGACGGCCAGCACTTAACATTAAAAAGGTTGTAGAGCAGTTTTTAAACTAAGGGCTGGGGGAAAGCCGACAGGTGTGGGGGAACACCTGGATCGGACAAAAACATCTCTTAGAGGAGGTCTATTAATAGAGATGCTCTGTGTTCTAGTCAGGAGGGGAGGATGGAGGTACGGGTCAGATCAGATGAGACACAATCAAATGAAAAAGAGTCAGGAAATGGCAGACAGATAAATAGTGACAAATACTTAAAGTGCTTATACACAAATGCTAAAAGTCTCAATGGTAAAATGGGTGAAGCAGAGTGCCTAGTTCTAAAGGAGGATATTGATATAACAGGCATCACAGAAATTTGATGGAATGAGGATAATCAATGGGACATAGTCATAGTTCTAAAGGAGGATATTGATATAACAGGCATCACAGAAATTTGATGGAATGAGTCTAATCAATGGGACATAGTCATACCAAGATACAAAATATATTGGAAGGACAGAATAGGTCGTACTGGTGGTGGAGAGGCACTATACGTGAAAGAAAATGTAGAATCAAATGAAGTACAAATCTTAAATGAGTCAAAATGTTCCATAGAATCTCTATGGGTAGTAATTCATGCTCCAATAATAAGACTATAGCAGCAGGGATATATTAGTGATCCCTGCTCAGGACAGTGATAAAATTTCTTGACACGTTAACTGATGGCTTCTTGGAGCAGATGGTTCTGGAACCCACAAGGGGAGAGGCAATTCTCGATTTAGTCATAAGAGAAGTGCAGAATCTGTTCCAAGAGGTGAATATAATTGGACCACTTGGAAATAGTGACCATAATGTAATAAAATTTAACATCCCTGTGGTGGGAAGAACACCTCAGCAGCCAACACTGTGGCATTTAATTTCAGAAAGGGGAACTACACAAAAATGAGGACGTTAGTTAAACAGAAATTAAAAGGTCCAGTGACAAAAGTAAAATCTCTGCAAGCTGCATCGAAACTTCTCAAAGACACCATAATAGAGGCCCAACTTAAATGTATACCCCGAATTAAAAAACATAGAGAAACAAAAAAGTGCTACTGTGGCTTAACATCTATGTAAAAGAAGAAGTGTCAGATAAAAAGACATCTTTTAAAAAGTGAAAGTCAAATCCTCATGAGGAAAATAGAAAGGAGCATAAACTCTGTCAAATTAAGTGTAAAAATATAATAAGAAAAGCCAAAAAGAAGTCTGAAAAACAGCTAGCCAAAAACTCAAAGGCAACGTCTAGACTGGTATGATCTTCCACAAATGCTTTTAACGGAAAACTTTTCCGTTAAAAGCATTTGCGTAACAGAGCGTCTAGATTGACGTATTTTTTGCGGAAAAGTGTCCGTGCCAATCTAGACGCGCTTTTCCGCAAAAAAGCCCCTATTGCCATTTTCGCGATCGGGGCT